CTACACGGTGTTATAGTAATAGATAATATTTTATACGGTTTGTTGATCAGTTTCGGTAACATTATCGTGACACTTATACGTGAACATATTATATTAAAATGTAGTTTAGGTACATGCGTAAATAAGACCGTTGAAAATATTGAATAATTTTTTTCGTTGTTTTTTTTTTTTCTATTAGAAAAGTATTTGTAAAATTATATTTTTAATTATTGTCAATAACAAATTTATCTAATTTGTTCATCTGGTCATTTTTATACAATATGGCCATATTTTACTCCAGTCATTATGAAATATGACCGTTTTTACCTGATCGTTTTTGAATTAGTCATTATTACCGACTGCCATTAAAATGGGTACGGCGTACGTCGGTGAACACGATCGTATTAATAAATTACTATTATTAAACCGGCGCACCAAAAAGAAACGTAACGCGATAATAACTCACTTACGTGTCGTTAAAGCCAAATGATAGGCTTCTTCCAAGGAAATAACGCGTTTGCTCCATGAAAATGGGGAACGCGATTCGCGAAATCTCGAACTAGTCGGACATCTGCGAAACGGACGGAATGAAACAGCAACGCCCGATCGCACGTTTTGGGGTAGTGTCATCATTGCTAGAATTGCAAGGATAAGTATGTTTAAAATCATTTAAACCGTTTAATAAACACCATAAACTTCTTCGCTTCACTAAGAATCTAAAATAAATATACATGTTCGTAAACTTCCCCTTGTTTTCCAACCACAAAAAATAATAATTGTCTTAATAAAAAAAAAAAAAATGCCACTTTTTGATATAGGTTCTTGGGCCCCTACAACTCTAAATCCACCCCCTTGTATTGGTATGCACTTAGGTCTTCGGTAAATATTATTGGCGGTGAAAGAGAATTAAAGGCTTACAAGTAAAAGGGTTACAACGGATAGGTATGCCATGGTAGCCCGGAGTAGAGGTAAGTACGAGTTTTTAACCAAAATAATATACAGTCTCTTATCGAGTCGGAGATAATTGAAAACGCGTAGGTGCCTACCATAATAATCTACGAACTCCGAATATTGTAATTATTTACATTTTGTGGACAAACGATATAAATCACAATTTTATACGACGTTGCACCTAGCTAATGGCCTGACCCCCGTGGTTTTTTATTTCGAAAACGATATTATAAATATTATACGACTTGTATAGGTACTTGACAAAATATATGTATAAAAAGTGAAACCCGTACAAATTATAATACCCGTTGCATGTATACTTTTTAATTGTGTATTTTGAACGATAAATACTTAAACAATTGTAATTTCACGACGAAAACGTATTATGTTATTGGTTTTTCCAGAATCGATAGATACAAATAGACAATTATTGTTATTACTGTTATGATTATATATATGAGGTGTTAATGCCTTTGGCTTTCCCCCTCCCTTTTTTTATTCAGTATACTTTTCATTCCGGTGCTTATCTTGTGTTATTTTTTTGTTCAACACACTTTTAAATTCTGAGCGTAGCGAGGAATGTATTAGTTTTACATTTATATTAATTTTTTATTTTTAAAAAACGGGAAAATTGAATTATTATTTTCAGTTTTGTTTTTGTTTTTTTTTGTTATAAAAACATCCGTAAAGACTAAAAATTTGGACCTGTAATTTTGTCTAACCGAACACCGTTCAGAATCGTTTTTCATTAGCAATAATTAATCGTTGCGTATAGATACACATAGAATTCTCCTCTATATCCTATCTACCTAACTTCTAACCTACTACAGTGGCAAACCCATCACCAGTATCAACTCTGTTTTTTTTTTTTATAACTGCAATATCAACGACGACGATAATAACGGCTTTCGACATTTTTACGATAGTACAATATAATATACAGCGAACAAAATAAGAGCGCATAGTTATTTTACGATAGTTTGTCTGACGCTGAACGTTCGGATCGATTCCTTGGGACGTTTTCCTTTATATAAATTATAGTGGTATTACAACAATTATTTGTACCAAGAGCGTATTTCGAGTTATCGAAATATTGCAAGTATTTTATTGTATTAAAAAGCCGAACGTACTACGTAATACGGGTTGGCCACTGTAGTAGATGAAAACTCCAAAGTTTGATAGATAATAGAGTATAAGAGCGATTTAATTTATGTAGCGAAAACTATGATAAATTATAATAATCAAAAATCGATTCTTAGCCGAGAAGTATTAGTCGTTTTTTTTTATTTTGTACCCATAAGGTATAACTTAGGAATCAACATATTTGCTTTCGGGTGTTTTTTTTTTTTTAATTTTACAGAAAAACTAATGGGAATCTAGAAATTGTTTTTTAAATTAATTAAATACCTCTGTTGGTCGAAAAATCCGTGTCTCTTAAAATATCCGATGGGAATAATTTTGAGTGTTTTTACTAACAAAAAAAAAGTATTTTCGAAAGGTAAAAAAGACTTATCTTAGTAAAACTAACAGCTTTTCTTCGATTAATTTTTAAAATATCATGTTTGTAAATACTATGTTTTTTTTAAATTTCGAAACCACCTCACTAAATGATGTTTTAAACAGTGGAATTATTTTATATAATTTGATTAGTATTTGAAAAAAAAATATCGAATCCAAAACAAATACGTTTACATTATTGTTTATTCTTTTTGACTCACTCTGTGTATACTATATAAAAGTATACACTTAAATATGTTGTTATACAATGAGTAATAACGAACGATATCGCCATCGATGGTCTTCGTCTTCCGTGATATCTACGATTTTATTATGCGACTTCGATTCGAATTTTTAATATTAAGGGACGTACTGACAATTTTTAATGCCAAATCTGTATTGTAATAGTATAATGTTACTCGGTCGTTGTATTCTATTACATTGATAAAAATTCAATTATCGCAGAGTGCTAAGTCATCGGTTCACGATGGAAATATCGAATATTTTTCTCGGTAATGTAGCTTATTGTTTCCAATAGTAGCATTTTATTATGATATTTTTCGAAGTTTTCTTCGTGAATTTCATTTCTTTTCATTTTTAAAAAACTTAATTATTTTGTTCGTATTACTGTATCGATTAATCCATATACTTATTTAAAATGAATAAAACATAATGTTTTTCTGGTACGAATTTGTTACAAAAACTCGTATAAACGTAAAACGTATAAGACATGATGGTTAGTAACACAAATTCTCCGATTTGTTCCAAACAATAAGTAGGTACCGCATAAAAGATATGGATTTTTAACCAGACGGTACCTACTTTATGTTATATTAATTTCGTATTATAATGTTTCAATCGATTCCCAAGAGTTATTCGAAAAAAATTGTTTTAAAAAACTTACTAAAAATGACGATAGTTACATCGGTTTTATTTTTGTTGATTTCCTGTTTACTAATACCTGGTCCAGTTTACCAAAATCTAATCAAATTCGTTTTTTGATTGCGATATAATTCATCATCGTGGTTTTCAGCCGGTATATACTGTATTACTATGCAACTTAGATTACCCACTATTTTCCCAAATTCCCACTTACGACAGCGGCCTACCCAGGTCACGGTGTTAAGTATATAATACGTTTTTTTTTTTTTTTTAATTATACATTATATACTATACAATATTATTTGATTTAGCTTTTTGAGGGCAGATCAGTCGTACTTTATTTAGAAACTATATTAAATTTAAGTCTTAAGCTTTTCAATAAATAATTTACAGTTACGATAAATGATTCAATTGCACGAAGTGCTCTTTAAAATAAAATAATAATATAATTTCGAAATTACGATTACGTGCACGTATAGACACATAGAATGCAATATTTTATATATATGGATACGTTTCAATAACGTTACACATTTTTTTTTTTTTTTGTATAGTCAAATATTTTATTCCTTTAAAGTAAAATAATTAGAAAAAATACAATTAAAGTTAATGGATTTTAAAAGAATTATCCTGAACTCGATGATTAACCTTGCATAATAATTAATAAATCTGAAGTTCCTTATTTATAATACTATTAGCTTTCAGTAATATAAATATGTATTTAAGTACATTATAATGTAATAAACGTATGTATTCAATTTATTTTCAAGTAAATAAACAGACGAATAAATACAATTATTACTTGTTTTTCTTTCTTCTTCTAATATATAATCGTAAATATTTAGGTAGATAAATAATTGTTAAGACCTAAATAAAACTCAGTCCAAACGGTAATAATTTCTGTCATGATAGTTAAAAAATTCGCAGTTTACTTGATAATTTCTGTTGTGAACTATCGTCATGTAAATATGATGATATTAACACTCATGATAGTTAATAGTAGATTAATAATCCTTTATATAGCGTCCAACACCACTAAAAAAATCATTTTTTGAAACATCCTAAAGACAACCGATCTCTAATAATTGTTTTACAGACAGATATCATTTAAATATTTAAATCATCGTTTATTTCAAATTTATAAGTAAAGTTTCAAAAATATAATATTTTACGTATATGAGTAGGTATTGGTAATTCAAATTCAGTATATATTATTTTAAATACGAGTACTCAAAATATTAGACACTAGTAATTTTGTCTAATATCTTTTTTAAAATATTAAAAAAAAAAAATTCATATATAATACCAAATAACATACAATTTATAAATTAAGTTTACATTGATTAAAATTAAAAAAAATAAATAAATATTTAAGAATAATGGTATGAAGTACGTACATTGTAGTACATAAGGTAGTAAGAAGTATCTACAGTATCTACATTTTTACGAAAAATAATAAAGAAGATAAGATATTTTGGTTCTGTCTAGACGAAGATAAAACGTATGCCGTCATCTAAAAGATAATCTGGATTTTGTATAAATATAATTCCAACACAGTACCATTGTGACATGCAATTTTTTTTTTTGGAAATAAAAACGTATTTGTAAAACTAAAAACAAATTTATTTTAACAACAATTATTGATAATTATTAATAATAACAATAGTATAAAAAAAGGTAAAAAATAAAAAACTGCACAAAACTATGTACGCGTTAATGAATATTAACGCGTACAAATAGTATAAATGACATATCTAGACGGGATCTTTGTCGTTTTCGAACTGGTTCACTTCTATTTTTTTTTGTAATCATAACTGTGTCCGTGACCGTATAATGGTAAACCGTATCCAAGTGACGATGCTCCGTATCCAAGTGACGATGCTCCGTATCCAAGGGATGACGCATCGTATCCAAGTGACGGCGCACCATAAAGGCTTCCGGACAGTCCACTATGGCTTGAATAACCGTAACTAGGGGCGGCTACTGCCACGGCCGGTTGGTGTACGGCGGGTACGACGACCGGTGTAGTCACCGGTACGGGAACGCGTTTGATAACCGGCACGGCGTACGGCTTGGCCACGGGAACGGGCACATCCCGAACAACTGGTACCGGGTAAGGTGACGGGACTGGGTGCGGGACGGGCCTGTCGACTGGGTACGGTACCGGCTTTTCTACGGGCACCGGGTACGGCGCGGGTACGTGGACCGGGTACGGGCTGTCTACCGCGTAAGGCACTGGGTGAGGCACGGGTACTGCTACGTCATGATGCACAGGCACCGGGTACGGGGCGGATACGGGTTGGGCGTGACGGTTGATTATGTGCACTTCCTTGGAGATCGGGACTATTGGTCCGGTAGTTGGGATGGGAGCGGATATCGCGGCATGTCCGTACCCAGCACCATATTTTAAACCACTGGAATATCCTAAGCCCAGTCCAGATGATAATCCCAATCCAGAGCCGTAGCCATAGCTCAGGCCGGAACCATAGCTACGACCAGAACCATAGCTAAGACCAGAACCATAGCTAAGACCAGAGCCGTAGCCAAGGCTGGAGCCGTAGCCAAGACTAGAACCGTAGCCAAGACCTGAACTGTAGTCTAGACCAGACGACAGCGCATAACCGAAACCTCCCAGACTCCGTTTGCCTTGCTTTGCCGTCTGCTTTTTATCGTTGCTGTCAGCTCCATCGACGAGGCATACGGCTGCCAGAGTAACAAGAGCTACTACCTGTAATCACGTCATACATACCAAACACACACGGTTAAATTAGGTTAGATTTTGTTTAGAACGCAATAAAAATATCTTAAGAAATATTATAGTCACGTGAGAAATTTTTTTAAGATAAATACCTATATAAGTATACGTTTACAATAGTTATTAAATTAAAAGGGACGAAGGAAAAACAGAAGTCTTTAGAATACTAAGAAGAATATACAGGACAAAATGGATTTTACCACTCAGCAATACGAAACATGAGGTAATGCCGAATAAGACAGTTCTATAAGGAACCTGATATAGGAGCAATACTATGATGCAGAGGAATTACACGGGCTAGCCACGTACGGAAATCTAATGAAACAGATTCTAAAATGGAAACTGAATGGCAAACGCCAGCTAGATGGACCAAAACAAAGACGGATAGACTGGGCTGACCAATGGAATAATCGAATAGAAGTTGGAATACACAAGACGGATATCTACGAGACGGATGAGCGTCAGCTCAGGATAGGATGTATGGACACGAGCGGGTGTCGTAGTAACAGCCTAAATGGCTTGTGAAAACTGAAGATGAAAGAGAACAATAATAATATCCACTTACGAACTTCATGGTATACAAGCTGCGGACTTTAGTTGGCTGTTCGAAACTGCTCTGCCGAATGCGAATGACGGTATTCGATACAATCGGTCGTATTTATACATACTTTTGCGGACGATGAGTAGGTACATATCCCCGCGGATAACCTATATCGCGATATTATGTGCAGAACTACGTATGATGAAAACGAACAGATTGACTTAGTCGGCCCAATAACGACACAAACTGGTATATCGTGTCACAATAACCGCGCGTCGCGTTGTTCATCGTGAAGCGACAAAATCGACAAAACGTTTACTTAGTCTTTCGACCGCAGCATCGTAATTCAATTTCCGTACGGCGCACACCATTTTTTAACAACGCGACAATATATTTGTATAAGACTCGTCCATATTTCGTAACAATGGATTAGGCATAATATTATTTTGCCAACGGCTTTGAACGGGAGAGGAATTATTATCGAAATAGGACGCTCTCGCAGTCTTTACAATCATTTTATTACCGACCGAACCCACGAACGATTTGACATTTTAACGAAACATGATAATATTACGGTTTCGGCCGGTTTCATTTCAAATGACGCGAATGTATAGTAAACTGCCCATTGATAATACGGTATTTTATATTTGCATAGATATGTTTACGGTACGTGTACATTTTATGAGTTGAAACGTTTTACAATGACGTGTGCTCTTTTTTTTTTTTTTTCCGTTTCCCGTCTACCGACAATATTTTTACTGTGTAGCAAAAACTTACTCCAATCGCAACAATAATGGTTTTGGTAGCATTTTTAGAGTTAAATGCAGCGCAGAATATATTGCCCGCCCGAAATTGTTATTTTCATCACATATCGCATAACAAATTTAATAATTTTGTATAAATATTTTTTGAACCAAAATGTCCATTAAGTTAAAACGTAAGTGAACTGTTTAATATTAAATTTATTGAATTTCCAATTTAAATCAAATATTTATACAATCAATATCATCAAGACCGTAAGTGAAGTGCGGGTCCGGTAGTCCTGACCCGCACCCCCTCCCACGAAATGTTTTTAAAAGTAGACAAAGTTTAGCAGTGAGTATCGACTAATAATTATTAATTATTTTATTAAGAATAATATTATGTTTTCGTTAAAATGTTCAAGAATAGTTTATGATGACTTGTATAAATAATTAATTATTATATAAATTTAATATTAGATTGACGATTCGTGTTTTATAATTTTGTAACGATAATAAAAAGTTTTTTTTTTATATTTTAAACGTAAATATGATTAGTGTTCAGTTTGTAATTTAACCAATTTTGGACCCCCCCCCCTCCCATTCGTTTTCAGTTATGGCATTGAATTATTATGAAAATCGCTTGGAAAATAACAAATCACATCAAAAAAAATTAAAAAAATGACCGACTCAATGCACCAAATAGATCAACATTTCTATAAGAATGTTTTTGTGAAATTTTTGATAAGAGCAAAACACATCACGGTAAAACCAATAATACATTCTTCGCTTCGCCCAGAATCTAAAACGGTTACTCTGTAGTCTTTCTGTTTAATTTTTTTTTTAAAATAATTCGCGAATAAAATATTGGTTTTTTTTCTTAATATAACAACAATCACAATATTTCTTTGACAGTATAATAATATAATACTCTCGGTCGTATAATACATAATAGCCTGCGCTATGCGGTAACTATATACAGAAAGTATACTATATTACCTATAAAAGTCAATAACGACCTGCACGGTAATCCTAGTAACATTTTTTTTTTTTTTTTATTTCGTCAAAGTCGTTATAAAAAAAAATACAGGTTATTCGAAAAAAAAAAAAAAAAAATATTAACAATTTACTCGTATAGATCGTAGGTACGCGCACACGGCAGATTATAATCCCCTCCTATAAATCGGATACGGTTGTCCTTATTTAAAAGAATCGGTTTTTATATACAATTTGTAACGATATTTTTGAAATATTTAGTTGTGAAACGTGACGTTTGTCTCTAGAATATACGAGTTTTTACCTGACTTATACTGGTCTAATACCACCATATAATAACATAATTTTTACAATTATATAATATTCTGGAAAAAAAAAAAAACAATAAAATATAGGATATTTACCATCACTCTTCGATTTCGTAAATATATGATTCGCTCAACGCAGAAAGGGCACGTTTCAACATAATTCATAAAAAGACAAAATATTCTAAAATCTCTGAAAAAATTGAAAAACAAAATGCATGTATATTATTACATGGCTAATGTTATATTATAGTGCTGGAGTTTTCTAGATCAGTTTCTTGAGTCATTGTATGAAATGTTATAAAACCCTAGGTACGTAAGACATTTTTATTGGCATTCATCAAACATTTTAATTTTTGAACGTGCACCATTGTTACAATTAGTGATTTGTGTATACATTCGTATTACTTTTCAAAACGCCGAATACACATACTACATAATAAAATCTAATATTTCATTTAACAGTTATAATAATTATAGTAAAAACAAAAAAAAAAACATATTTGATTATTATAATATATAGACTAAAAAATTTACTTGGTTTTAGGAATCGAAAATATCCTTCCCCGTCTTCCACTAAAAAAAAAAAATAATAATAACAATAAATTATTATCGAAGATAATATATAAGGTCCGTAAAAAAAGGTCCATAATTTTAGTGGACGCAAAAATTGATTTTTAATCCTTTTTTTAAAAATTTAGAAAAATAACTTTTTTAAATGTTGAAACTTAACCTTGCTTAACCAATTCTAACCTAATCTTTTTCAAAAACTTTCTTTGTACAATATTTTGGTATATTATTTTGTTTAAATTTGTCCAATTTTTTTCCGAATTCTTCCCGTTCACCATTCTGATGCATAATTATTTTAGATCTGAGAGTAGCGAAGAATATCTATAATAAGTTTTTTTTTCGCCACTTTTTACCAAGAAACTTCGATCATCAAAGTCAGAAGTGGTTTTTGATAGTCAATTATTTTTCGTTAATTAAAAGTTGTTTTTTTTTTTTGTATTTTTCTTAATAATACAAAAAACGGGTAAAAAATGTTAGAAAGTCCTGAATATTTACTTATGAATACTCAAGACGAGGAATAATCAGTTTTCAAAATATTCTGGTGTTATTTAGAATTTTTGAAATAATAAAATTGTATTTTGATAAAATTGCTTTTGCTTTTCAAAAATGTTCGTTAATTTTTTTGAACGTTCTTCTTGAGTTAATAATCATATACCAACAAAAATAAGACCAAGGTATCGCATCGACATTTATTGAAAGATATTTAAACTGTGCAGATATTAGTGATACAATATAAATGCAAATTATCCAAAAATCCGAAAATCCGGATTTCGGATCCCACACGGTTGAAAAATCATAAGGCATTGGGCGAAAAATTCTGAACATTCTTACACCGATAAATTTGTTTCAAAGCGGAAACACAACACTCGTCAATCACAACTACTCCTTCACTACACTGAGAATGTAAAAGGGAAATTGTTCGTTATCCCGTATAGATAATTTTCGCTGCCGTCGACTTATTTTATAATTCAACTACGGGCGCAACAGATAACCATCGATTTTCGATCTATAACGATCGTTATTGTTTGATCGTTTCTATAAGACCCATCCATAACCGTCCAAAGTCGCAGTCGGTAAGTGTCGATTGTAAGCGCGTTTAGTGTATTGTAGTAAGTCATAAGCGTTTGTAAGTCTTGCCGTTTAATCATGTCGACTATTGTTGTTATAACGTTTGATGATAAATTATAATATTACCGTTAGTAAGTCACTCGATTATTATTCGTACGTTACGTGGGCGTTTACGACTGTTATTATATTTACACGAACTTGTCGTATTTACATTTAACCTTAGGTATGTTATAAAATAAGCTGTTCGATCAAATTTTAAGACCTACGCCGTGCACATAATGCGACAATGCGAATATTGTAAAACGGTTTTTAACGCGTATACAATTTTAAGTATTCTATACATAACAATAATCATTTTGTTATAACACGCGCTGTGAATATCTGCGTACATATTCCCTAAACGTATCTACGGCAATCTATTATCGACATAATTCTACCGGAAATGTCGTCTATACTGTTTCATCGTGAAAATATACTCGTACGTATATGCTATTATAATATATTGCGCGGCTTGCTGGTTAACGCAGGTTAATTTTATAAATAATCGGCGTACTTATAAATTCGTTTGTCATAATATAAAATTGAGTATGAAACATCTCGTGTGTATAGATTATTGTACGCCATCTGCCGGCAATACATTATCTAATGATAAATTATTTACATGCAGCTAAGATAGTGTTTGGTTTTTTTCCTTTCTTTATAGCGTCGTTTACTAATTTATATAACGGAAAACCTAATTAATAATGTTAGTTGTAAATGTAAATTTTTAGTAACTTTAATGTAGTTTGTTTGTATTCTTTTTAGTTATTACATAATCTTGAGGTACTGCCAATGTGTTTGTTATTATATAATTTGTCAACGAATTTGGACTTATGTCCGTTAATAAATTAATAAATACATAAATAGTAGGTTTAATACCGGAATCGCTCATCAAATAATTGCGCCCGTTTAGAAATATTGTTACTATCATGTGCCCAGTTTATCGAATAGGTACGCGGTCTATTCGTTTGTTGTAAAGAAAAAAACAAAAAAATACTGTAATTTGTTTTATATTGTGTTGTTCGGTCCCTCGTTTCGTTGTTTAGGTAATTACAATCAATCGGAATTATTCACGCGTAAAATAAAAAAATGCACTATTATTTAAATTAGAACATCAAATCCGACAGGTATGCCCGCGATACCTGGGATATTCGAGAAAACCGTTGTGTCGGGGCGTCACAGCGGTGGTTTTAATGGATTTCGTATTTTCGTCTTTACATCTAGTGGACATTTCCCGCGTGGGAAATGGACTTGGCACGGGCGGGAGAAAATAAAAACGTAAGAAAAAATAACGCCTGGAATCCATTTAAGTCTATCCGTTTACGGTGTGTGTACCTATACTGTATATAGGTATTTTTGAGAC